CCCCCCCCCCCCAAAAAAACCCGGACCCTTCCACCCAAGGTTGAGGCTGAGATGGATCTTTTCGAGGCCTTCGAGGCGGCCCGGGAGAGTTGCCTTGTTTTTTTTTTTTTTCTGGTTTGGGTCTTAGGGTTTTAGCGTTTAGGGTTTAGGGTTTAAGGTTTAGGGTTTAGGGTTTAGGGTTTAAGGTTTAGGGGTTAGGGTTTAGGGTTTAGGGGTTTAGGGGTTAGGGTTTAGGGTTTAGGGTTGTCTTGCAAAAGGGGCTGCGGACTGGGGCTTTATTTGGGTTCACTTTGGGGCTTTCTGGGGCAGAATCTGGCCTTTTTGCTGAGGGCTTGAGATGTGAGGACCACCCCTCGCTAACCTTATGGGGTGTTACACGGATGTCTGCGGGTTCGAAGTACATTTCCTCCTGTTCCGATGGGCCCAGTAGGGATCCCAGTAGATTTGTTTTCCGTGGGACATTCCAATGAACGAATAATGTACTTAAGGGGGTGGCGGGGGACTCCCCAAGTACATTACTAGCAGTTGTTGGGGGTGGTGAGGGGAGGTCTTGACAGCTGCAGGCGTGCATGTCTGGGGTACCAATCGTGCTCCCGCCGCAGTCTGGTGCACAAACTCATGGGACTTTGAATTGGTTCCAACGGTTCTCGGGTTGACTGTCAGACTGTCAGGTACTCCTTCACTGTTTTGGTCTATGCTGGCATGAATTACTCAGGCTTCGAGGTCTTCGGGGTTATAAATCCTGAGATCCTTGGCCCTTAAATACCTCCAAACCCTCCAAAACACCCCCAGCCCAAACGCACAATCCGAACCAGGTTTGGCTTCAGCCTCGCGTGGAGGTTCTGTCCCGGTACCTGGGCGATGCAGTCAAAAAGGAAAAGCAGAGGACTTGTGCTCTTGAACTGAGAGGCGTGCGATGTACGTGTCGCACCTGACTGACTGTAGCAGCAGTAGTAGTAAGAGTTGCAAGAAGAGCAGTAGTAGTAGTAGTAGTAGTAGTAGCAGCAGTAGCAACAGTTGTCGTAGTAGTAGTAGTAGTAGTAGTGGTGGTGGTGGTGGTGGTGGTGGTGGTCGTGGTAGTGGTAGCGGTAGCGGTAGCGGTAGCGGTAGCGGTAGTGGTAGTGGTAGTGGTAGTGGTAGTAGTAGTCGTCGTGGTGGTGGTGGTAGTAGTGGTGGTGGTGGTGGTGGTAGTAGTAGTAGCAGCAGCAGCAGCAGTAGTAGTACTAGTAGGAGGAGGAAAAGGTGGTGGTGGTTGTGGTGGACATATCTACAGCACGGACAAAATAAGCCCTGTTAGCATGATGATAGAGCACAGCATGCTGCAGAATACGCTCTTCAGGCAACCTGCGACGAAAGGTCGCACATGGTAATGTATGGTACTTGTGTGGCGATTCTGTCAGGAGAGCCGGGTGCACCATCCCCACACCCTGAACTCCACAAGCTCCGTACACGCAAAGTATTGGTCCGGAAGCCATTGGCTCACTCCTCAGTCTTGGACCTGCGATTGAACCGGTGAACAAGATGCATGCCCACCCGTACTGACAAGAGCAATCGTCGAATGACGCGTCGAACGGAGGTCGCAAGCCTCAGAATGCTGCTGGCATGAAGCCCGGCACCGCCCCAACACCATGAAGCCGAAAGACAGGCCAACAACTGACTCTGATAAGAGCCCTAGGCCCTTTCAACATCTGCCTGCGACCCAGCACCAAACTCCTGTTAGCCAAGCACTCAAGCCCAGATCCGCGTGCCCTGAGGGGCCTTTCCAAACCCATTCACTTCTTCTCTTTGCTCTCCGTGTGCGTGACAGCCATGGATGAAGTCCGCGCGTTGCAACAACAGCTCATGGAGGCTCATATCAGGGTCCAGCGCGTAGTTTGGTCTTTTGATTTCAAGATGGCTTCAGGTGCGGGTTGAGGGCTGCGATTGTTTGCACCGCTGTCGTAAGAGCCGAGAACCCTACAGTAAATCCTGGTTTCCAAACCTCCCGACTCAACTCCGGCGTCTGCTCCCCTGACGTGCTTGGAGTTCCCTCGTACCCGCCAAGCTCATGCAGCCCTAAACCCTAAACCAGGCTCAACGGGCCTCCAACATGCGCAAGATCTCCGAGCGGAACTGTTGCTCGGACGCAGCACGAAATCTGTTGCGAACGTGAACCCGGCTTCAGGAAATACGTGCAAAGGGGATGCCAGTAATACAAACATCTCGAAGAATATGGACAAGGAACTCGCTGCGGAAGCAGTTCTTCAAGGCTTTGGGCTGAACATCTCTGGAAAAGTGATGTGGTCGAATGTGATTCGCTCGATGCAGCCATCCGGGCATCGAGCAGATAGGTTCTCAAGCTCTTTTTAAGCGAACCTCCAAGACCTACAGACCTCAGAAACCTTGTCAATACCTCAGCCCAAAACTCCCCAACCCTAAAATTCCACCCCTTATAACACTTGAGGAGATCATCCTAAACCCTAAACTGGCCCTAAACCCTAGTACATGAGATCCCAAAGAAATCCCAAGCAAAGGCATCGACTTGGTCCAGAAGCTCATCTCCACGGAGCAGGCCTGCAGTTTCCCTTAGGTTTAAGCGTTTTAGGGTTTTAGGGTTTAAGGGTTTTAGGGTTTTTAGGGTGTTAGGGTTTTAGTGTTTTTAGGGTTTTAGGGTTTAGGGCTTAGGGCCTTCTGCTCGCTCTCACCGCAAAGACATGATGGCTGGGTGAGAATCTCAGAGGCCCCACGGTCTCCTCGAAGGGTCCCCTGCGCGAGCCTGATCGCGGTTGTCAGGTGAAGCTCTTCCACACGGCGAATGGAAAGGCACACCTAAGCCCGGTGAAATCCCGCAACCTGTCCTGATTTGCTTGATCTTGGGGCTGAACCCTAAGCGCTAAGCCCCGGAGAGTAAGCGCAACGCTTGGAGGAGTTCTTGACGCCGGAGCAACTGGACCATGCCCGCTGGCTTGCACAGGGTGGCTTTAGCCTTTGGGGGGGCTGTCTTCGAAGCGCCGTTGAGTTGTGGGAGATTTGAGGGTAGAGGCTCTTGCTACTACAGGTCTCAGGGCTTCTCATGTCTGTCGTGGTTCTTGTCATTTGCCCCCTGGCCGAGGAGATCCGGGAAACCATGGAGGTGCGCGTCTGCATCTTCCGAGGGTGCAGCAGTTAAGAGGTGCTCCAGGAAGGAACCACAATCGGGAGGTTGCGCTGGGAGTTTCGGTGCACTCTTCGCACGCTTTTGTGGGCACTGCTCTCTGGTCTACTGGTGTCGCGCGCTCCCTCCGACTACCCTCAGTGAGACTAAACAGAAAGTAGGAAGTCAACCCGGTCGCAGCAGAGAGCTTTGGACAAGAAGACCTCAACCCATTAGCGCCTAGATCCCGCTTGGCAGAACTGTGGCGGCCGGCTCTCCATCACCGATCTACCCAACGAGGCGCCTTGGCCCAGGGAGCTTCATGGGCTCCGAAACGGCTTTCCGATAGAAACCCCGGAGGGTCGGATTGCTGGGTCAAGAGGCTCCTTCATGTCAATGTGTGGAGTTCTCAAGAATATAGCCGATTTGACGAAGGGCCTCGGAAAAAAAACACCACCCCATGACCATGTTGAGCCCCAGGGTCCCGCTTGTGATGCCGACTTCAGAGTCGGAGCACATCCCCCTGAAAAAAAACACGGAGGCACTTAAAAACTTCAAGAGCTGAGCCCTAAACCCGTCCAGCTCTGTCTGTCATCTCTTTCATGTCAGGGATCTCTTTCTGTCTTGGAAGCGGCTGAAAGCTTCCTTTCTTCAGATTTTAAGAGACCTTGCGACAAAAGGAGACGTCTCGGAGTTCTGCAACCGTTTCGGAAGGTAGGCGTTGCGCTGGAGCACTGCGAGGTGCGCGTCGAGGCTCCCTTTGCTTGCGGGCCTGAGAGTTGGGGTTTTGGTTAAAGTTCAGGGTTGATAGAAATTGGAGACCAAATTCCCAAACCCTAAATAAAATCCCCGAAGCCCCAAATCCCCGAAATTTGAGACTCTCAAAGTTCGAAAGCCTTCATTGATTCCTCGCATTGGCACACGGCCACTGCTTGAGGCTTTTCTTGGGCTTCCGGGCTTGTTTCAGGGCTCTGCTCTGTTTAGTGTCGGCGTTTTGGGGTGTTTCGGAGGGGTGTGCTTGGGCGGGTGTCAGGGCCTAGGATTTCAAGGTTGAGGGTATTGGGGCTTGATGTAAGGGTTTGCCTTTCACTACGCCTTGGGGTTCAGGGTTTCGGGTCCCCTCGCCGGCAGATGCTGCGAAAGCACAGCTCCCTGCACAAGATCCACAATGACTTGCCGCCTGCCTTCTCAAGGGAAATGTCGGGACCTGATGAAGAAACCCCCTCCCCCCCGCCTCTTTTTCGGGTTCTTTACGTGGGTTCTGGGTTATACTTATGTTGGGAATTCAAAAGCAGGAGTTTCTAGAATCAGGAGGTTCTTATAGTCAGGCTCCCAGATAACCGGAGACGCGATGGGTTGTTGCGAGTTGGGCTCCCTTTCAGGTACCAAGTCTTTGAAGTTTTGAAGGTGATGACTAAAGGTTCCTTGTCTGAAATTAGGGGTTTAGGGTTTAGGGCTTTAGGGGTTTAGGGTTTAGGGGTTTAGGGGCTTAGAGTTTAGTCCGCACAGACCTTAGGCACTGCCCAGAGGAGTCCTGTCCCGGCAGCTCCCTTCAGAGCCCAGGGTCTCGCCCCAAGCGCCTGGGCCACAAAACCCAAGACAGACTCTGACACGCGCCTTAGTGCTTAGAATAGGGTTTGGGGGTATTTATACTATACTCATAACAAGGAAGCCCCAAAACCCCTATTCTAATTATTAAGGCCCCTACATTACCCCACACACCCCTAAAGCGTTTAAAGCCCTGGGAGCAGCCAAGCCGACCCCAAACCCGAAACCCTAACTCGCCGACTTAAACCCCAAGCCCAAGCCCTCTTCCCTAAGCCCTGAACCCTGAACCCTAAACCTAAACCCTAAACTCGAAAACCAGAACCCTAAACCCTAAACCCGAAACCAGAACCCTAAACCCTAAACCCGAAAACCAGAACCCTAAACCCTAAACCCTGAACCCTAAACCCCCTAAGCCCGAACCCAGGTTCTCCCAGCAGTACCTGCTCTCCATTGCGCATGAGCTCCTGGGCCGAAGGATAGGGCTGAGGGCTCTGGGGTTAAGGCTTCATGGGTTTCGGGAGCAGGGGTCTGGGTTTAGGGCTTAGGGCTTAGGGTTTTAGGGTTTAGGGTTTAGGGTTTAGGGTTCTGGTTTTAGGGTGTAGGGTTTAAATAAAACCACAAAAAGGAACTACTTAGGGGCCTATGGGTACAGTCTAAACGGTTAGACCAGCACACTGCCCGAGCAGGCAGCGTAAGATTCTTGATTGCCTCCAGAGGCTCAAGGTGTCCAACAACTAAGCACCTCATAAGGCCTTTAATACCCCTTGCAAACCCAACCCAAGCTAAACCCTTGCTCCAACCCGAAAAAGGCTCTAAGCCCCCCAACTCTACACTGCCAAACCTGAACCCGAAAGCCCCAAAGCTACCTCAAACTACTCTAAACCCCCAAAGCCCAAAACCCTGACGTCCCAAAGCCCCCAAGCCCGAGGTCGCCCTTAAAACCCAAGCCCCCCGGCCCCAAGCCCCAGCTCCCCAAGGCTCAGGATTTAGGATTTAGGATTTAAGGGTTTAGGGTAAGGGTTTAGGGTTTAGGGTTTTAGGGTTTTAGGGTTTAGGGTTTAAGGGTTTAGGGTTTTAGGGTTTGTGGTTTAAGGATCGAGGAGAGCCTCGAGGAAGCTGGCGCACTGGCGGTCTCGGACCTCGTGAGCAACTCGGCAGCGCGTGGTCTCTTGGTCAGAGTTTAAAGGTGCTTGGTTGTGTGTTTTGTCGTGTTGTAGGGGAATGGGGTAGAGAGAGGATCTCGAACTTTTTTCCTACGGGGCCGCAAAGTGGGCCTTATTGAGGCTGTCAATGGGGGATTCGCAGGGGGGCGTTACGGCTTTCAGGGTGCGGCGCGTGATCCTCTCATCCCAACCTCACCTGCTAACAAAGGTAGGTACAACCTGCCGGCGGACTACATCCGCAACTCAGTCTTGGTCCTGCTTTCCTCAACGGAGGCGGCGACCGGCACGCTGAGACAGGATACTTCCAGTGTTGAACTTCGGATCGCTCCATGGTGCGGTTCTTTTCTGGCCGGCCTTGTAACGGGTGTCAGCTCAACGGCGAAGCAGCCCACTGCTCCCCACATTCAGCAGCCTGTCCAAGCTCCGAACAAACTCAATAGGTCCTGAGCCCTTATAGTGGTCTACAACCCTAAAACCTCAATCCGCTCGTGCAGCCTCACAGGCTGTAATTCGGCAGAACACTGTGTACACCGGCTCCTACACAGCGCGAGTGGAGGCCCCTGAAGGTCTCGGGATCATTCTACGGCGGCTCACGTGTAGGCTAGGGGTTTAGGGTTTAGGGTAGGTTCTGGAGACGAAAGGTCAGGCTTAATAGCTGGCTCCTGATGTATGGTTGTGTTTTGTTTTGTGCCTGCAAGGACGTATCGGCTTGCCGAACAAGCAGTTCTCCAATCACGGATGCGTGTGTAGGGATCATAGAACCTGCAGTATACTCAGAGACTCACGAACAAACAAGATAGCCATCGTAGCAAGGACAGCATCGGGTTCTGCAGTTCCGAGTTGGGTATCGGTCTAGTTGGTCATGGAAGTTGCTTAGGCCATGCCACTATAACTCCCCAAAACCTGACCCCACATATGAGCGAGCAGCGAGCGCATCATGGCAGGCGGCAAGTGTGTAATCTGCTACCATTGGGGGTACCTTATTTTGGGTTCCTTATATGATAAGGATCCTACTATTTAGGGTACTATGTTAGGGTCCCCTATTGGGCTCATTTCACGAAAGCTCCCGCGAATCTTGCAGCTCGTAGGCCCCGAACCGAAATCGTTGGTCGAACTGTGAGAAGCATTGTAATCAAAGCCTTGTGGCAGCTAGGGTTTAGGGTTTAGGGTTTAGGGATTGTAGCACTTAGCACGAAGACCCAAATCAACAGCCACAGTCGCAACAACAGACGCGCCCAACACGGACGGCCTTTGAAGCCCTCTGAGACCCTTTGATGCTCCACTGCCAAGCCCAGCTGGTAGAGAAAAGATCCCGAAGTTAAAGGTGTGTTAAGGCTGTTTTAAGGTATCTGGCTTAATTGACATTGAGGGGTCTTGGACCCTCGTTTGATCCTCTGCTCGCAGGCACGGGTTCGAGGCGCCCTGCGCGGAGCGACCCAGCCCGTCTCGCTGGCACAGCTGTCGGCACGGCCTTGTGCTCAATGCGAGGGGTTCGGGGCCCTGGGGGTAGGATTCAACACTTTTTGTCTCCATACACAACATCCTAAAACCGAAAGCCGGCCGCTGAACCGACTCCCACGCCGACCTGTCCGCAAACGGGCTCGCGCCTCAGTAACGGGATGACTCCGAGAAAGTCCCCTTCGCCCGCTGCACGGGAATTGTCGAAAACAGGTTAGGGTCGTTTATCGGGTCTTTTTTCTGAAAGTGAGTACTCTCGTGGGGACCGAGCAAGGGACACGAGTTTAGGAAACTTCCCAATAGCAAAAAGAGCCCCAAACTTGAACCTTTTTATGCCACTTAGGGCTCAAGCCCCCGGCCCTCCCGCGTCGGCAACTGACCGGTTCGGGGGCTCAGGGTAATCGACCCCTAGTACTGCAGGAAGAGAAGCCGGAGAAAGCTCGTATCATGCTTTCGTGTCCTTCGCCTCTCTCCTGCTCTGCGCCGGAGCCCACACCTTTAGCCACCGGACAGGTCTTGGCAAGTAGGCTTTGCGGTTAAAAAGCTTGGTGCCACAACTAGCTGTACCCTTCTGAAAATTACTGCCCCCAATACGCGTCTTTGTCCAAGAGCACACAAAGAACTGAGTGAACCCCTATTATTCTGCCAGACAGTCAGACAAAGACAACCGAGGAAGAGTGTGCTCGTGATCTACAAGACTGTGCCGACGCGAACACCTGCGAGGAGCAGCTGTTTGCAATGTATGTGCTGCCGGTGGAAACCCTCTTCGAGATGACTGAAGTCGTTCCCCACGAAACACTACTGTGGGACGAAAAGTTAGTTGAGTTCGACGAGGCACTTGGCAATGCAATGTTCATCTCACATCAGTGGGCTGGGGACACGAGCCCGGACCCCGATTTCCAGCAGTTCAAAGTGCCGCAGGATGTGCTACGGAGGAAGTTACGCCCGGGCGCCTCCATCACGGGCCACATGCAGGTCGAACTATATACAGGGCATTTGCACCGTCTTCCTGCTGAAGAAATCTCTTCCAAGCCCCTCTTTGTATGGTATGACTATTTCAGCTGTCCGCAGAGAAACGCTTCTGCACGGGAAAAGGCCATCAGCAGCATCCCCGCATACGTGGGTAAGTGCCGCTATTTCGTGATTCTATGCCCTCATGTCTGGCACGCTGGGCAGGAGACCTTTCTGTCGAAAAGGAGCTGGGAGTGTCGAGGTTGGTGCAGATTCGAAAGGGCTGTACGAGAGCTGAGCCGAACAGGATCAACAGGCTTAGACATTGAAATCATCAGTGAGACACATCAGGTCGTGGAACCTACGATGGCTTTCTCAGTTGCCATGGCGCCTGTCAGCGAGGGTCAATTCTCCGTAGCTGCGGACAAGCACAGGATCGTCGAAGTGTTAAGGCGAATGATTCGACGGAAGATGGCTGGTTGCCTCATGGAGGGTGATTTTCATGAGTACCGTTTGCAGCGCAATTCTCAGCGGGTCTACTTTCGAAATTTTCCCATCGGGCCCATCGACGACTTCCTGCCCGAGCTTGTCTCCGAGACACGTGATCCGGCATCCTTCATGGTGGCAGCCTTTATGTACCAGAACGGCTTCCGATTCTGTCCCCGGTAGTACTCTTTTTTGTCTTGTTTTCCTCCAGCTGGAGCCGTATTGTATTTCTCCCAATTAGTTCAAAAGCTCCTCATGGAAAGATCCTTTCCAACCTCCCAATCCCATGCTTCGAACCTAGGATCCATACACGAGCGAAGCCCAGAGGGCTGGACTCCCATTTGCTTCGCTGCTCGCTTGTTTTAGGGTTTAGGGTTTAGGTTTCGCAGGGTTTGGGTTACCGGGTTCGTTCTGTCTCACCATTGACCCACGTCCATCGAACCATAACCGTCCCAGCCCAAGCCTAAGTCGCTTCAAGCCCCAAACCCGGAACGCGTCAAAGCTTGCTGAAGGAGCTCCGCTGAACGAGAGTGAGGCAACACGAGGAAGAATTGAAACTCGAACTTCCAAGCCTTACTGCTTGAAGTCCCAAGGCACTCCGCACACTGAAGCCCTGACATCTCTATCACAAAACCCTAGTTTAGCACCCCCTAACCAAACCCAATGCCCAAAACATCTCCTAAGCCCTGGCCAATGAGGCTGCATTGGATGGCACTGCTATGCTGCTTGCTGCACACTTACCACGCAGCATCTACGGTTGTGATAGTTTGGGGTTCTCTCGGAATGGAGCTTCGATGGGTGGTGTTGCCGCCAACCTCAAGCTCAGATAGGTCACCATTTACGGAAGCATAGATGCTCACAGCACAGCCAGGATTACATGATGCACTCCGTCTAGATTTCCATCTCTACCAGTCGCAATGCCAGAAGCAGCACAGATGACGCAGAAGGTTCATGCTACTGGTGGTGGACGTGTATTGCCGATGTTAAATGAGCACAAAGAGACTCATACTCATAGTGCCCTTCCTGCAGCACTGGTTCGTCTTCTCATTGCTGCTACCAAATGTGCATGTACAAGAACTGCATAGTGCGATGAGAAAAGCTACAGGCACAATAATTATCCACCGTATGGTAGTCGGTGAGACCCGCTCCAGCAAGTCGTGGTGGTGGTGGTGGTGGTGGTGGCGGTGCTGGTGGTGCTGGTGGTGGTGGTGGTGCTGGTGGTGGTGAAGGTGGTAGACTTGATGGAAGTAGAAGAAGTGTTACTGCTTGGTAATCGTCGTCGTGATGGTGATGGTGGTGGCGGTGGTGGGGTGGCGGTCTGTAAGCGGAAGCGGTAGTGGTAGCGGTATAGTTGGTCGGCGTGGCAGTGGGATTGGTAGTAATGCCATGCTTAGATTGTTGGCAGCAGTGGTCATGATCCTCTGTATGATTGCTAGTTGCGCTCTTATCACTGCTGTGTTCGCGATGATTGCATCTATGGTCATAGCTCTTGCAAAGCTTTGGGTAACTACCTGTTGGGTTCATGCTTTGACACAAAGGCTCATGGCAGCTCTCTTGGGGCAGAGGGCCGACGTCAATGACGGCATCACGCGGGGTGAGTCACGCTTTCACTTGGCAGCTGGCACTCCAGTGCTGCACATGTGTGCGTGTTGCTTGGTGAGAAATCCCGGCTCTTTCCGACTCGGAATTGGGGCGGTTTTGAGTCCCCTTTTGGGAGTTGAGTTTATGGAGCAACCACCAGTAGCCAGACTAGAATCGAGGCAAGATAGTGCATTGCTTTGATCTCTCCGTTCTTGCTTGGGATAGAGCGGTCCCACATTCCATGCATGTTTGCTGTAGAATGCGTGGGCCCTGCGAATGACTGCTAAGGCTAGTTACTGCTGCTTTACCAGGAGCTAGTGCATTACTGGCACCAGTACTGCGACGACGACGGCAAGATGACGAAATCACCTCACTGCTAACACTGATAGGACTACTACTACCGGTTACCTGTTTCTCATCACAGGTTTTGCTTTTAAACTCCACTGCTACGAGTACTTCCACCGGCGCTGGCACCAGTGTTCCATTCTCGCAGGTTTCCGAAACAACGAGGCCATGAAGGTGCTCATCAACAAACGGTGCGAGGCAGGATGCCTTTAGCCGAAGCCTGATAGGCCGATTCTAGCCTAAACCCTAAACCTTCCCTTTCGGTGGATCGAGTGCTTCTTGGGGGAGCTCAGGTTCGCTAATATAGGGGCCTTAATTATTACTAATACTATTTTTTTTGGGGGGGGGTCCTTATTTTATAGTTGTAGTATAGTATACCCCAAACAAACCTTATTCCAACTATAATGCTCCTATGTTAGGATATCTCGACCACCGTTTCGGGTCCGCGGCAACTGCCGCCGACCTCGCCCCAGCGCTCAGGGCCTCAGTTTATCATGGCCCTCTCCTTCAGGTCAATGCGAAAGATGGCTATGGGTCGACTGCTCTGCACTGGGCTGGCATCACAAACAATGTCGAAGGCCATGCGGGAGCTCTCGTGTGAGCTCGGAGAACGAGCCACCCTAAACCCTAAAC